AAACCACACGAAACTTGAATCACCCCTTACAAAAAACCCAGAGGAACCCTAAAAATTAGGGCACCACTACCTAGGTCAAAATTGAAGAGTCCAACAAAATCAGGACTCTTCCCCTTTCTTTAGTTTTTCCTGATTCTGGTGAGAAACCCTAGACCAGCTACAGGGCATACAGATCCATCAAGAAAATCCAAAAACTGGGCTTACCTAAAAGATTCGATCAGCCTCTTAAATCTCTATGCAGTCGGCCGATCTAGGGCTGCAGGAATGAATCTCTTCAAGAACCTTCAACCTGCTCTGATACCAAGTAGAAAGCCTTATGTGTTGATTTCGGCCAAACTTCTTGTGAAAGGAAGAGGAGAAAGTTGGGGATTTCAGCAATAGACAGAGGAAAGGGAAGAAAAGAGAAGAATGTTGACTAGGATAGTGATCATTAACCCTAGCCGCCGGCCCCTCATTCTATTTATAATTAACTTAAATATGGGATATTACAAAGATGCCCCTAGTAGGACGGCAACTCAACTAAGTATTTACAATTCCTTTAAAAATAAAGACTAATGGGCCCAAGGCCCAACAACTTCTTAAAATAAAAAGAAAACAAACTAAACATAAATCGGCCCAACATAAATCAGCCCACTCAACAGTTTTCTTACCTTCTCCTTCAAACCAAACATAACCTTCTATTATTGTATGAAACTATTTTGCCCTTTTAACTTAATTTTCTCTAAAACCCTAACATTCACATGTTTCCTTCATTTGTCTTAATAAAGTTGATCTTGAGAATGCCATGATAATTGTCAATTTATTAACACATGGAAGGCCATTTGTGCTTTGAAATAGTTATTTTCAACGCACATTTGTTATTGTCATTCTAGAAGGGCAATTAATAGTTTTACTTTAATCACTAACCTTGTATGAGGATCAGAGGGTAAAGTGCTGGAATATTGAGGTTTGGGTAGGTCTTGGCTACAAAACAAAGTCTGGGGCCTCAAGTATTATAATTCTTTAAATAAAAGGTGGCTATACGTAATTTATCCTAAAATTAAATGTCACATTAATAATCCGATTTGTATTTAGTATTTATCATATATTAAGGCTGTGTTTGGAAACGAAGCAAATAAGTGTTAATGCAAATATGTAGAGTGGAAAACGGTTCATATAAATTACAATATTGGGTTAGTTTTGCACTAACAAATTTACCTTCTTACCAAACAGACCTTTAGCTGTAATGGATGGAGACATGAATTCCAAGAAAACATATGCTTTTTTTTTTATCAAAAGCCCATTTGAATGCAAATTTACTTCTTTTTTATTAATGTACTTTTACATCTTTTTATCAACGTAAATATGTATTAGTCCGTCATTTATCAATGCATAAATGTAATGTTGCCAAACACAAACAAAAATGAACTAAAATGCAAATTTACCCTAAACCAAATTTACACTCCATTTGCATCCTTTCCAAATGCAGCCTAATGAAATTCATTAGCCCATTCGGCTTTGTAAAGTCAGTAGGGGCAGAGCGGTCATATTGTGCACATGCTAAACTCTTGAATTGTGTCTTATATGGTAGTTCGTAATTTGTTTTTATGCTGTTGTTGGTCTTTTTGTATTAACTCTGTTCCATTTCCTTTTGGCTATGGCCGTTCCTGATGGAAAGTTTTAGTTTCTTAAAAATAAAATCTTGAACTGAACTTCAATTTATCGTTTATATTTCATTTTGCGTTGTATATGTTTAAGCTTAGAATTTATACCAACGGTGCATAAGCATTTTTTCATGTGATGATTGTGAAATATATCTAAATAATTTATTTTTATTAAATATAATTAGGGATGCATTTGGTATACTTCGAAGTTTATGTCCTATTTGTGGTGAGGATAAATAAATCAATAGACAATCGTTTTGTGAGGTGTAGCATCGGAACAAATTTGATTTGATCTGGTGCCTCACCCCAAGATTGGGACAAAGCTGTGCCCATATGGTTCTAATAGCCTTTTTCACCCTTACAGTGGGAATATTTTCCCATGAAATAAAGCACATAAGTATAGAGATATTTTCAATGCAAAACAGTAAAAGGTTCTCGGACCGGCTTTGCCCTGATTAAAGCTGAATTCCATCCTCAGTTAGTATTGACTTACATCTAGTGGATAGTTAAATGCATTGTACGGAATCAGAAGGTACATTTTGTTACTCTACTGTGAAATAGTGCTTTAGCGGGTGTGTTGGCATCAATGCATTTCACAATTGATTCGTTTTTTGTGTCATGTGCACCACATCAGCAAATAAATGGAATCGACTAAAAAATCGCATCTAGCACTCTTGGTTCTTAGAAAAAACATTTTTATAATGATTAGCCTTGAAATTTGAGAAAGGGGGGTTTTCTTGAAACGTCAAAATGACATTTCTTGAATCGCTTGGGTGATTTTATATCACCCTATGACATGGTACATTAAAATTTGAAAAAAAAAAATGACTACTTTTTGAGATGTCATATATATATCATTATATATATATATATGTTATGATATAAATACTTCTAAAATTGACTACCTTTTTATGTTTTTAATAGAATCAGTTATTTATGTTTCTTAAGGCGTTATGAATTTTCCAAAAAACGAATCGCTTGTGAAATGCCTCGGTGCCAAACAACTAGTTAGTATCTTTATGCCTGGAAACTAAGGTACAGAAAAGATTTTTGAAGAAATATTTTTGATCCATGATATATAATTGCCACAATCCCACATCACAACCTCCTCCCTTGCCCGTACTGTGTTGCGCAGGATAATTTCCTATACTTTTTTTTTTTTTTTTTGAGTGTCAACTGATGAGCTTCTATTCAAAATTTCAACCATTGGGTCTCCCCCTCCACGTGATATACTTAAAATTAATATTGACGGGTCATATTTTTTTTTTTTATAATATTGTCTATTAGGACAGAATTTGAGAAGGTTTTGTTAGACGCTGGAATTGCTCTTCACACTAACCTCACAGGAACAATGCATCATGTATCGAGAACATCTCCCGTAAGCGCTTAAGTGTTATTATTCATGAGAGATATTTCTAAAGCACGGTTGAATGCCTGTGAGGTCGGTGACAGGTGTACTCTGTGAGAAGCAGGTCCCAATTTGTTTTGTTATAAGGATTGGACCAACTGCTAAATTGCCAAGTAAATGACTCTATTAATATTAATTTCCTTTGCTTAGCTATAAAAACTTATTAGTTTCCTTGGAAGAAACTTTCATTTCATATTTTTGTTTTCTTTTGATGATTTGATATTTTAGCAGTTCACGTGCAAACTGCAAACTAGCTAATAATCAATACAATGGAATGGATGACAATCATGAACCATTATTATCATTATCTACTTCTCTTTATTTTATTTATGTATAAATAAACCAAAAATATAAGAACAAAAACTTATATTCACATAAACAACAAAAATTAATGGAAAATGAAGGGGATTTCAAATTAATACCAGAATTTGTATTTCTTTTTATCAATATTCTGGCTCAGTCATGTGCATTTAACGCTAATTTTACTAACCCACTAATTAGGTCTAATAGTCTAATGTATAATGACTAGCTTTTATGGAGCTAAAGCAGCATTCATGACAACTAAAAGAAAATAAAGCCCTGTTTCATTCGTAGGAATAGGGGTCTGGAATTGGAATTGAAATAATCCAACTGTTTGGTTGGATGGAATCGGAATGGCCATTCCCTGTCCCTCTTAAGAATAAAGTGTCATTCTTGCTGATTCTAATTCCAATTCTCATTCCATCTGAACCAGACAGACTATGGGTATTGACCATTCCGATTTCGATTTCAAAAGATTTTAATTCTGATTCTAACTGTAAATCAAACGGGCCCTAAGACTTTGTATTTCTTTTTAAATGTTAAACTCGACAAATGACAATTAGAACAATAATTTGGGACACAATACTGATTTCACATTTTCTATCCCCAGATCCTATGGGGAGATCGACTTCCATCAGGGCAAACCGGTGCCCACACTGTTCTAATAGCCTTTTGCAATTTTGCATTGGAAATATCTCCCCATAAAATAAAGCACACAAGTAAGGAAATATTCTCAATGCAATGCAGTAAAAACTGCTCAATAAGCTTTGCCTTGACTGAAGCTGAACTCCTCTATGGGTTACTCGGCCCTAAATATGGTCTTAAAAACCTGGTCCATAATCTTGCACCGACACTTCATGTTTTGTGCATGTACAAGAACAAGTTGCCAATTGACTAATTGAGTGTTTTTTCTGAAATTATATTTTTCTTCTACCATTTAAAAGCATATAATGAAAGGTTTGACATATTTATTATTTATAATATGTTAAATATATTATAAAATTTGGTAAAAATTGCTTTCCATGATTATGATTCTATATTTTTGAAAATCCACAGTATTGATTATTCATGTATTATCTCGGGCTGGGCTCTGTGGATATAAGATGGTTTATGGCCCACTGCTTGGCCCCATGTTTGAAGAATTGGTCCAACCACATTATACGGAACTGGGAAAAGGATGTTCTACGGTAAAACGGTTTCAAAATTCAAAGATGTTCCCAAAATCGTGCCTACGTAGTAGTACGTACGTTTGGGCAGCACAGAAAAGATTGAATATAAAAGTTTCAAAAGGGGCTGTAGGAACCGTTTGATGGTTCCATTGGTGGGTCCAAAATCTCTGAACACGTTAAATAACTACTAATGGGCCTAAACCCAGAAAAAGGAAATACCTCAGTCCTCAAGGCCCAAAGCCCCAAACTGAGAAAGGGTTTCAGTTCAGACTTTCAGTAATTCAGTTTAGCGAAAGCCAGGATATAACTGACAAGAACGTGATTTCAACCGCCAAATCAAAATCAACGATAAGCGCTCCCATAAATCCATCAAATTCCAATCCAACGGATTTTAAAGCAGGTTGGCACTTGAAGAATCTGCTCTACATCACTTCCCGGGAGAGAATAGTTTCCGCTTTTCCCACCAAAAAGCTCCCCCATTTCACCATTTATTTTCTAGGGTTTTTGTTTGAAAACTTTGAATTCGAACCCAAAATCGGTGGGTATCTCGAGCTTTAATCAGTCTTATTGTTTCAGTCCGATCTCCTAAACTTAAATGCTTTGTGCAAAGTTGTACATTAATCTGTGGTTATTCGTTATTCTGTGAATAGTAAGTTGCTGACTTCGCCCTCTAACGTAGCTTCATTTTCACTATCTTGTTTGTTCTTTTCTCAGCTATTCATGCTCCTCCTTTTCTGTTTGTTGATTGTTTCGAGCAATTTTAAATTTCAAATAATTGTTGTTGTTATCCGATTGTTCTTACCTTGGATTTTGTTTGTGGACTCTATGTATTTTAGATGATTCATAGGCTGCTTCTGTTATTAGATTCCTCGAGAATATGTTGTGGAAATTGCATATTTAGGAAGTAGAATATCGGAAATTTGAAACCCAATCTCAAACTGATTGATGCAGTCTTTTTACAATTATTTTAGCGATTAACCCCTTCTTACATTAAGAACATAATAGGAAGAAAAAGGTACAGAAGCTGTATATAAAGAAATCCAAATCCCCTGACCAACAAAGCAAATGAAACTCAATGGCCAGATTAAGGATAGTACCGTGGATAGACAGACTACATTGGCATCATGTAAGAGAACTAGAACAGTTTTTTGATGTTATATGCTTATATCCTTTGTATAATACCCAGAACTGAAAACATTAGTGTCCACTGGTTAGCATACTCTGTTTATAGCATGATTGCACGTTCAATAGTATGCTCTAATGAATACCCTTTCTTTGCCATAAAAAAGCAAATATAGATGCAATCCATCACCACCCCCAACCCCCCAAGAGAAACAACTAATAATGATATGTAAACAACCCCTAAACGAATAAGTAAAGAATACGCCCAAATTTTTATCTTATATGGAAATTCGGTACCAATGTGGTGAAGATAATAGTATGTTATGATATATCAAATGCCATAGTTCAACTCTTACACAAGCTAGTGAAGAAGACACTCTCACTTATGGCTGATCTCTGCAGGGTTCCTAACAGGGGATTCTGGAGGTTCAAAAATGAATAAACACCAACAGAAAAAAAAAAAAAAAGAGCAACTGTGTCATCTATGGTTCTCCTCATCTTTGAAATACCTGCGCGTTCTTCTTTGTTTATGCTGGTATGGAAACTGTACTCAATTACTAAATATTTTACATTTCCTCATTTGCTGTTTTCCACATGATATAAACAAATATATTTGTTCTGAAGGTCATGGTAAACTTCACATAAATATTTAAGCGTCTCAATGAATTGGTTACGGATTAGGATTAGTTCACCTTGCCCAGAAAAAAATCCATTACCCAATGCTTTGGGTATCTGGGGTATTGAGAGAGAAGGGGTAGACTGGATATAGACCTAATATCTAGCATTTTTGGCATGTAGTGGCCACTCTCAGAATTTGTCCACCATGCCTGTAGTGAGGTGAGAGCTGAACTGGCTGATCTAGGTCATGGAGGTTGTCTATTGACGAATTAGCTGATCTAGGAAACTAAACCAGTGTACATGGGGTTGGCAATGGAAACCAGAGACCTTGCCTCTCTAATCCAGTTGAAAGTCTCCAAAGGCTTCTGTACAATTCCTTGCTTGTCATCCATTCGATAACAAAATCTGGGAATCTCCTGATGTCCTGTAAGAAATATCCTTGGATAATCCATAGAAACCAAGATTGTGACTAGCGAGTTCCTGAATAAATAATAAAGCTATCCCTCAAAGAATTCCTTGATCTATAGATCCTGAGCATTCTCGAATAATCACATCGGTGTTGTCTCTAGAACTGCCTCCAATCTTGATTGGACATGATTCCAGATAAATTTAGCGTCATGCCAGTGTTTCCAAGGTATGTACCTGATGGTGCGTGATCTGGCTACTCCTAGCTGGAGGGCGATCCGAATTCCAAATGGGCGGCGAGCTGGATCGATCTGCAAAACAGTGTATCAGAGGACCCGGGGTAGCTAACCCGGTGAGGTCGTTTTGATGCTTAAGTCAGTATTTATGCTGTGAATGTGAGCTGAATGCTTGAGGGTTTGAGTGCTAGTGAGTAGAATAATCACGCGTATCTTTGCCTTGAGATTTTGAGTCTTTATATATTGGAGTAGTCGCGGGCCTTATGGAAGAGCTTCGGGTTCTCCGGGCTGTGAAGATAAGGTTGGTTCCATTTTTGAAGGAGAGCAGTACGTTGATAAGGTTTATTGTCTACCTCTGATTCAAGCGGAACCGGGATGAGTTCTTATCGTGATATCGGGAAATTCGGGATCCGTTGGCTCATCGTGACCTCAAGAGATTCGGGATCTGTTGGGGAGGCCTTTGGAGTCGGTTATGCGGCACTTTGGCTCATTAGCTCCGAGATGGAACTTCGGTTCTTTGGTTCCGAACTGGATTAGGTGTCGAGGTGCCACTACACCGAGGCGGATTTTGGGCCGAGATGGCTGAATACCCGAACTACGAATGTTCCGAACTTGCGCCTACGTGTCCCCTTCTTGCTAGGTCGTGCCAAATCACCCTTCATCAGTACCTATTCAAGTGGCCAGAGGTACCCAGGATATCGACTTCTAGAAATCATTGCAGGGGGACATAGGTCACATGGCAATTGATAAATATCAACTTCTACCAAGAAAAAAGCCCAAAGGAAACCCAAGGTTTAATCTGGAATATCATTTCTTCAATATGATTTCTCCATCATCTCCAGCTCTGGCCAAGTTATCACTTTAATGAATTAGTAGATCTTTGGACATAGCTGAACAAGATATCAAATTTGACAAGCAATGGGCCTATGGCCTAGGGCAAAATCTTACTAGAAATTAGAGACGCATAAACCAAGAATCATGTCTTGTGAATATACATCGGTATGCAAGCACAATAGGAGGGATTTGCAAATAAGAACATCCTTGTTTTGGTTTGTTGAACACAAGTATCTCGAGGTGACTAAATATTTTGAGGAAGATCGAAGGGACCAATTTGTAAAGAATGTGCAGGTTAAACGGTGGATTGTGTGTTTTCCAATTTATCTTTAATGTAGACAATTCACTGCTTCGCTTGAGACCAAAAAAAGTTGTCCATTCCAGTGGTGATAATATGATTGACCAAAAAAAAAAGTTGAGTGGTGTCATTGCTACCTTGTTTAGTCTCCCAATTATAATAATACATTCTGTATATCCTATCCTTGAAACCTAGGTATTATTAACGAGTCTATACATTATAGTATAGGGGTGTTCATTAAAAACTGATCCGGTTAATCAGACTGACTGATATATATATCAGTAATAGAAGAAGGGATTGGCGAAACAGGATTCATGTAGCCAATCCCATATAGTTGGGATAAGGCATGGATGATGATGATGATATATAAATATATATTTATAATATACAATATATAATATGTTACATAATTTCTAGTATTTATATTATACAATTATATATTTCTTGATAATAATATTACAAATTAAAAAAAAAACCAAAGAACTGGACCAGTCAATTGGTTTCGGTTAACCAAATTGTGAGCTCCCCTATTATAGTATGATCTGTGTTTGATATTCATTAAACCAAGGTTGAAAATAACATAACTACCAGTCCATATTGTATGATATGTATTAATTTTTGAACCTTGTGATACCCCCCATTTGAAGGGATTTTGGGAGGGGGTCTTTATGTTTAATTAGAATTTGCCTTTGCTCCTCACAAAGCACGCCTCACACCAATCTCACTAGGCTTTGCAGCCGTGCATTAGGAATATCTCTCTATGAATGACAATATACAAGTGCAGGAGATACTCCTGATGTGTGGCTCCGCTTGATGTGAGGTTGGTGTGAGGCGTGCTCTGTGAGGAGCAATTCCGAATTCTAATCATTAGAACTAATATCTCACCTAATCCTGAAGCATCATCATGAAAAACATATAAAAAAGGAGTATCCATACATCGAAAATGCATGCAACCCAATTTTTTGTGTTTCATGTGTATTAATACTTTAAACCTTGCGGCCAAATAACTCCTGTTTTAGATATTTTAAGGAATATACTAAAGAACTTATATGGCAAAATAGTGCCCCTTAACTAGGCGTGCTGTGTGCAATTGGATCAAGTTGAGTCAAACTTCAGCATGCCTTAGCTTGCTTTAACCAAGAAACTCCTATATTCGAATTTGAGTTTTAGTTTAATTCGAACTCTATTTTCTTGTTTGAGCTCGGTTTGACTGAATATGTGATAAGTTTGAGTTCAGCTTGAAAGTTTGAAAACTAATCAAGCTTGCAAGTTTCAATTAATGAGCTTAAATTTGAGCCTAAATTTGACATATCAGTTATTCTAACACAAGAAATATCAATAAGAATATCAATTATTCTAACACAAATCTCTGCTTAAACTAAATTAGAACTAAACATCAAATTCTCTAGTAATTTTCATCACAGATGGATAAAAAATAACAATAACTTTAAACACAAAATCAGTTTAAATATTAATCAAGCAAACCTTGAGAACTTTTGAGCCATTGAATTAAACATTTGAACTACTTTATGAAATTGGCTAATTGTATCCTTATTGTTTGCGAAATGACTTAAAGTACCCCAAGTTTTTTGACACTAGGACAAATACCCCCCCCCATCCATTAGTTCTGGGACATCACATTCTGTTTAAAAACCCAAATTTGCCTTATCTTCACCATTTCTAATAATCTATACCCATCTTACCTATCATTGGGATGCCCTATTCTCTACACAATTGTAACCTTAGTTGGAAGAGTTGTTCAGCATGAATGAGATGAACCCCTTATTTGATTATTTTTCTTCTCTTCCTTTATTTTCATGTTCACAAATACAGGGGACGGTAGAAATTAGCAAAAATCATTCTAAGCTTTTAAGATAGGGGTGTCAACAGTATTCAAAAATCCAATTTTGAATTCGAGATTCGATATAACCGAATTGAATTCGGATATGGCCTCATTCTATTCGCTAAATATCTAAATTCGATCGATTGTTTAATTCTTATATATAATATATAAAATATTAAATGTTTTATATAATTTATATATTTATATACTTTATATAAATAAAATATTTGTTTTATATATTTATTAATTACCTAAAATAATTAATCGGTTGAATTTGAATTGAATCGAAATATTCAAATATCCGTCGGATATTTATATACTTTCTTCTTGTATGTCTGTTTGACATTTGGCCTCAGATCCAATGCATTGTCTTCATCGACACAAGTTTCCAACCATACGCCATCAAGCTTCATTGCAAGTCTTGAATCCAAAGCTTGTTTGGTTGATTTACTTACAAATTTTTCCTTTTTTTTCATAAGGATTTTGATTTATCGGTATGAAGCGTGTTACTCTCTTTTTGATCTCTTGAACATCTTCAGCGGATTTCCGATGGATTTGAGAAGTCATCAAATCTAAGGATCGAGACATCGAGTTGTTGATTCATTTGCATAATTTTATTCGAATTTCTTGTATGGTCTTTCTTTGGTCACCACTTGCTTCTCCTCCCCCGTTTTATTTATTTATTTGTTCTGGTGTCTGGCCCATGAACTGAACAAGGTACGGTGTTCTGATTTTTTATTAGAAAGATCATTTTAAATCAGAAGTCGAACTATCCTAGATCGGGTCTTTTCTCCGGCTCTTTTCCGGAAAGCTTTTTGCTGTTCTTTGAAGTATAATGCTAGACATTTCAACCTTTCTATCTATTTAACAACAATGTCCTATTGCCAAAAGACCTGGGGATATTTTTAATTCACTTGGTAAATAGTTAAGACTATATAATTAATCAATTTCGCAGAATCCAAAGGTAATTGAAGTATTTAATACAATATTTTATTGACCAAATTTGAATTCGAAAAATTAATAAAATTTACTTTGAGATTTAAGCTTGATTAACACGGCAACGCCTAATCAAATTCAAACGTGAACTATTCAAATAAGGCTTCGTTTGGGAAGAGTACAAATACAATTACAGTGCAAAACCTTGTATTTTGTATTCCTAAACCTTGTATTTGTAATGTCTACACACGAGTGAGAGATAGAGAGAGATTCATACTTATTTGCAAGTATAAATACATTATACAAGTTTTAAAAGGAAGGTACTGATCTTGCATTGACAAATCAAGCACCTTTCTTTTCTTGCCTAAACAAAAACAAGAGGTTGTCTCACCTGTTTACCTTTGCACAGACCCTTCAACACTAAACATGAAACGGATACATCACCGATTGAAACTCACTTCCAGTCAAGCATGTCCAAAAGCCACAAAACTTCTTCCTCACAGCTAGCAGCGTCGCAGAAATCCATCTCAATCCCAAAAACATCAATGACTCCATCCTTCCCATCTTCCATGAACAACAAAGAAACCCAAGCCCTGATACCTGAGACGAACGGGTAGACTGGCGAGAAGTCGAGATAATCAAAAGCAAGGGCCCTGTAGGCTGTCCTATCAATGTAATCAAACAAAGATTTATTGATGATGCATGCAACCTTGTTGGTATCCCTGCGACCTACAAGTACAGAAACACTGATTGTTTGGCTCAAAGGAACAGTAAATCTTGGTTCTACAGGGACTGTCATCTTGTATTGTGGACCCTCCAAGTGAAATCTCAGCATCTCGCAGATACCAGCAGGCAACATCTTGATCCCGGCACGAAGAACAGGGCCTGTGACCACTTCTGAGAAAATTATTCTCTCTTCTGCCCAGATGTCAATGTAGAATTCCAAGTCGTCAAAGGATATTCTTGGGGGAAGGAGCATTTTATGCTTACGGCGTTTATAGAAGGTTTGGTAGAGCTTGTGGTAGGTTAGAGGGGGAGGGGTTGGTCTCTTGCAGACAGAAGGCCATCGCTTAGCACAGAGGCATTTCCAGAAATAGTCGTCTCTGGCAATGTCCCTCCACTGCCTACAGACCCGCATACATGAAGCCAGGTCTTTGCCATCCAACAGAGGAAACACAACCTTTAAGACCTCCCCATAAGTCATGTTCAACTTGCAGAGTAGGCAGCAGAAGCAAAAGCTGGAAGCACAGATCCAGAAGAGGGCTTATGACACTGGAGAGCTCCAAAGCAATGAGATACTCGGGTAAGTTCCTGAGGGAAACAGCAAACAAATATCTCCATGTAGATTGTGATTGCTAATTTTGGGTGTCATGTACTATTGAAAACTAGTAAAACTGCATATTAAAAAAAACAACTTCAGGAAACATAAAAGAATTATGTTGAGAACACATTTAAAATGAGAAAAAGGTAAACTGGAATTAGAATGTTTTAATGTTCAGTTTTATGATTTTATTTGTTTCTGTTTATGATGCACACAAATATACTAGTTTCAACCAAGTGTTATGCTATGCATCGAACATTGGATCTTCAGTGCAAGAAAATGCAGCAAGAGTGAAGACCACAAAAGCAAACAGATCACCCAATTTGAAGGACACACGTTCCAATAAATTCTGAGTTCAGATTGGTTTTCTGGAACCCTATTTCTTGTTGTTTTGGTTTGGATTACCAAACTGCTGATTAATATAACCATTCAAAATTATCATCATTATCACCATCAGCAGCAGCAGCAGTCTCAGCCTAGCTCTGTGAGGCCTCGTAATCAACTTTCTTTATACTTGCCTATGTAGAGACATGTTTCATTGGTAACCTATGTCAAATGTTTCTTCACCACCTAAATGCATGCCTCTTTTTGTCCTTCTCCTTGTCCATTAAGCTCCCAAAATTCAAATTGCAACTCTAACCATGCATCAGTGCATAAATCTAAAATCCTACTTGCAGGAGGAAAAAGTATATATATATGATGTAGCGCAATCCGGCTGCTCCCTGCAAGAGATGATCTGGTTACCAGCAACGATGGGCTCGATGAACCTACAAGAGATGAACCAAAGAACTTGGGGTGGTTTACCTGGCGAGGTCGCTCCGATGCTTAAGTCAGCACTTGGTTGCGAGCTAATGAGAACTCAGAATACAAGAAGACTAAAGAGCAGAGATTACGCATACCTTCGCCGCTGGGGGGTGAGGCCTTTATATTCTGGAGTCCTCGCGGGATTGGTGGAGTAGTTCCTGGATCCCCGCTGTGATAGGATTCGTTTCCGTGTTAGTTGGAGATAACGCCACTAACCGGTAAGGTTGCCCATTTCCGCCTGAATCGGGAGTGGGTGAGATAATACTAACCGTTATAAGGCATGATCCCGCAAGATGCGGTGAGATCCTTGGAATTACCATGCGACGGTTGGCGAGCATCACCTGAGCTCATGTCCGGGCTCGATTTGTAGCGGACCTAGTACCGCTATCCTGGTCACGATTTGGTACCAAGGTGATCTTAGTTCGGGATGATCTTGGCTCGAAGTAACTTTAGTTCGAGGTAACAGGGTACTCGAGGTCGCTTTGTAGTGAACTGACCATGCCGAGTTGTCACTTATGTTGAATCACGTCCATGTGTCGAACTGACCATGCTGTGTTGTCACTTATGTCGAGTCATGCCCATGTGTCTCCCTATTACGAGGTCGGGCCAAATCCGCCCTCATCAATATATGTATATATATATATATATATATATGTATGCAATTGACTAACAGTAGGGGTGTCAATAGGTTTCAGTTGGACTCAATCTGGACCAAATGTGATTTGATTTGGACATTCCAAGATATTGTGTTGAGTTGGACCAATCCAGGTTTTTTTGTCCAATTCTTTTAGCAGTTTGAATTGGACATGTCCACAAACTCCAAGATCCAATTGAATCCAAGAGACTAGCAAGTTAGGAGGCTGTCTCCCACTCCCACCTTTCCCTCCTCTTCCCACTTCTAAATATTCTCACATACCAACAGATTCTGTCAATCTAGATGCTACCCTAACTGTCCCCCCCCCCCCTCAACAGATCATAACAGCAAAACAATGGTGCAGTCCTCAAAGGCAAGATGGAAAATTGCCCCCTTCACCAACAATGGAAATTCCCTCTATAAGCTTGACCAGCTTTTCCTCTCCTCGACCATTTGTAACGGCAAGGATCTATGTCCCTTTGTGTGGAAAGCCTTCACCTTCACAAAACCTGAAACCCTCTACCACCTTCACTACTCTGTCAAATCCAAAGAATCAGATAACAAAGAGGTTTGTAAGGCTCACTACCAATATTTCATCATGGCCATTGATTATCTTAGTCTATGCTCTTCGAAGCCAATTCACATAAATCTTCACTCTCACAGTCAAATGCCTTGCGATAGTCTGTGGCAGGTCCACTTCTTACCTCTCTTGACATTTCCGTTGAGGCTTGCAATGTCAATTGCAAACAATTCTACCACCAAAATAGGGGACAAACCAGTCCACATAAAACACAGAGGTGGATGGGGGTTGGATTCTGGTAAGCTGACGTGCAATTGGTCATCACCATCCTCGAGCATCTCTGAGGCAGTAGTGACTAGTGACATCAGAAGGCTTGCCCAAGATGGGTTTGTATATGCTTGCAGAATTATTTTTCTGCAATTTTATATTTTTTGAAAAGTTTAAGTATTTTTCCTATAATTTTTTATATTCTTATAATTATCTAGTGATTTCTGTAAATTCAATCAATTTGGAATAGATGGGGTCCAATCCAATCCATTTGCATAAAAATGAAATTTATGAATCTGATTAGACTCTCTGTCCATTAGATTTGGGTGAGATCAAATTTGGTTTGTTTTATGATGGACCAATTTCAGAGTAGGTCAGATTGGACCAGAAGCTAGTCAATTGACACCCCTAACTGATCACACCTCTGTGAGAGGTTATTTTGGTAAGTAACAAGTGAATGCCTAGAACAAAACCATGGTTTAAAATGTCCCTTACTTTCCTAATATTTCTATGACATATTTCCACTTCCATGGGTAGCAACACAAAATTTTACCAAAATTGACATATTCCCCAATGAACACTACTAGCACTATGTGGAGGGCAAGAGATGGTTTTGATGACATATTTCCATTTCCACTTCCATGGGTAGCGACATGAAATTTTACTAGAATCGACATATTGTAGATATGTCGAATAACAATGCTATTGCCCGCCTAACTTACATGATTACCACTTACATTCCAAACATGAATCGACATATTCATTCCAAACATGAAGTTAAATATTAGTTTTTGTTTGTGCAATAGATTATTTGGTTGATCTATAACAACCATTTACATTTTATATGAGTTTAAATTTTGCTTTAACTCATTCTATCATGAAGCTCTAAATCTTAAGGTTTATGAGGCAACTTCAGAACGTATTCTTTTGTCTATAACCTTAGTTTCCTAATTTGGTTTAATGATTTGGAACAAGATAATAATTTAAAAGGGTGTTCTTATTACTTCTTTTATCATTTCATAAAATATCATTATATTTTGCATATTTTACAATGTTTCTACCATGTCAATTATTTTTACTATATTTGCATACAATACTTCCAACATTTCTGACATGTTTCTTATATTTGGATGACCGACATTTCCACCAACATTGACATTTTAAACCTTGAACAAAACAGATAAACAAAATTAACTAGACAAGTCTCCAAGAATACATGTTTGTAGGCTAAGTAGGCAGGGCATTCCTTGCAAAAGCAATCCTGAATACAAAGACAATCTGATTGAAATAATGAGTGCTCTTAATGGGTATTCTTAGAAGTCATAGATATCATGGACATATGAGACTACATTATGCTCTCGACTCAAGAAGGCCTTATCCCAACTATAGGACTTTAGCACAACAACCCATGCCACCCTACTCTACCAAGAGCATACACCCTACACTTTGTTGATTTAAGTCCTCAGGTACTTACCACCTTTGCAAGTCCATAGCTCTCTCCATAACCCACTTATATCCTCTTATGAAGCCCTTTATTTCATTCATTCTTCTTTCCTCTTTTTCTGCTAAACATATGCATGTGACAAGCTAAAGGATGTTACAGTTCTAAATATGACAACCTTAGGAAAAGTCAAGGGGTTGGAGCAGAAGAACCAACCTCTGAGTCATCAAGGAGATAAATAAGCAACACAAGTTTACTTTCTGATGAAAGTTATCACAAACATTTGACACCTCCCCTGCTGTGAGGTTGAAATCAAAGAACAAAATAATGGTTAAGAGTCTCCATAGGAGGCTCATTCTCAGAATGAAGCACACTATTTGGAATGCTTTTTTCTTATAAAATTTAGCATCATTTCAACTATTTTAAGGTTCTACTCTTGCCGGTACTAGATGAACATCTAAGTGCTTAAAGTCCTCTCTGTCTCAAGGTATGTATAGTTGCTCAGGCCTGTTGAACTGGTTCAATAAGGTTTGGTTTAATTTACCAGAACACAATCAGGTCCAAGTTTGTCATGGTGGGTTTTGGTTTGGTTTAGGCTGTTACTTCTGAATTTTTGCATACCAGGCATTTATTTTAGTCAGGTGTCATTTGGGTTACTGGCTTACTGTCTGCGTGTAGGCTATGTATCCAAAGTGCCCAACTGCCCATCCTCTTTGCATGTGAGCTATGTTTTTTCAATCGCTAGACTAGAATCTTCCTACCTTTCTTTTAGTCTGCAAGTGAGCTATTCCAACCTGAGGAATTTGTATTTAGCATTTCAGGGCTACAATCTACAATCTTAAATACTCCAAGCAAGATGCTCTAAAGTTTTATGATACGAATTCAGTTTTTTTGACTCACAGGTAAGGAAAAAGAAAAGCAAAGGAAATAATGAATCAAATTTGTCTTATTATCTTACAGGCTTCAGATACAGGATTAGGTAAATCTCATGCTCCAGTGTAAAACGAAGGAACAAAAACAGAGACTTATACCAAAGGCGAATAAAAACAGACAACTCCCCGCGCTTGCAAAATTCTCTGCACTTCAAAATTTCCAAATTGGAGTGCTATAAGAAACAAAATTCAACCCAACCAGTTTGCATTGAATTTAGAAATACCAAAGGAATAGAATTTCTCAGTTGAAGCAAATAAGGAACTGGTTTTTAATGAAAAAATCACAATAAAACATAAGAATTTTAATCTATTTAAGCCACTAGAGAGGTAGGAAAGAGAAGAGACGAAAACTGAAAAATCGGAGCTTTTCAGGAGAAACAATCCCGAAACCAAATGCGGCCCACCGCAAAAATCAATAAACAATGCTGAGGTCAATAAAGAGGAAAGGAATATCAAAAGTTCAGAACCGTACAAGAAAACAACGAAATTTAAGCAAACAATTCGATTAAAGAAAGAAACATGACAAAGCAATGAGTTCCACTTCCATATCAGCCCGAAATCAAAGAAAAGAATGCAAAGAACCAAATAAATTCTCTAATGGAACATTCGAACTCGTCAAGGAGACCAATAAATAAACAACACGGCAACGATAAGTATAAGATCAAAAAACAGAAAAAAATGAAAAAATAACCAAATTCACTAGAGCAGGAACCAGGCAATCACGAATATGCGATCCGAATGAGAAATGGGAGATTGATAGAAGAGAATTTTCAGAAGAGATTCAAACGGCTTACCTTTTTCCCCGGTCGAGACGGTAAACCCTACACCTTCGTGTCCTCGTTAAGAGTAAGAGTAGAGAGAGAGAGAGAGAGAGAGAGATCCTTTTAGCACCATCCACATCTATCCACCCGACGAAGGAAGGACGAAGGAGAAAGAGAAAAGGTACATTCCAAACACAGTGCCAGTGGCCATATCTTCCTTCTTCCTACCGTTCATGGGATCCAAAATTTTCCTCATTTTGTTTTGAGATACCATCATACATGATCCCATAATAATAATAATAATAAAAGGATCTGGGGCCGGTTTTTCAACACCGTGGCCCCCACAAGCCAACGAGTACGAATCGTGTTGGATAAGCCTCTCTCACGTGGGCGTCTCTCTCAACTCTCAAGTCTCACCGTTCCTTAGTCCTTACCATCGTCACCATGGGTTAATTGATCCACGGTGGAGAATAACTGAGCACTGTTGCGTGCAAATTAGGAAATGTCTCTTCTAACCTGAAATTTTTTATTTTTTCCTTTTTATCCTTTCGGTTCTGCTTTTGCGGAGGAGACAGCGAGCTTTCGAGGCAAAGTGAAACGGAAGATTCGAATTCGAATTCGAGTAGAAAATCCGATAACCGAATTTAATTCGATATCCGATGAATATTAAAAATTAATATTCGAATTCGAATCTAATTAAATATTTGAATATCCGATTCGATTAATTAATTATTTTAGATAATTAATAAATATATAAAATAAATATTTTGTTGATATAAAGTATATAAATATATAAATTATTAATATAATTTAATTATTATATATATATTATATAAAATATTTTATATATCATATATAAGAATTAAATAATCGGTCGAATTCGAATATTTATCAAATCGAATTAGATCATGTTTAAATTCAAATCCGATTAATAAGATATTCGAATTTGACCAATTAAATATTCAAATTATCCGAAATCGATTTGATTATATCAAATATCGAATTCAAAATCAAATTTTAAAATACCATTAACACCCCTATTTCGAGGGGCTCTACCTCTCCGCCCTCCTCTTTGACTCTAAAAATCTCAACTCTCAGCTATCGTGTACAGACTACAGACACGGGAGGCGGGAGAAGTTCACAAATGAAAATTAATGACGCGTTCGTGCCCGTTTCCTGTTTTTCTACATAGCCTTTTTGGTATTGCTTACAAACCTAGAATGGACTTCCGCCGCAAAATGCTGAACAACAGTTCTTCTGATCTTTGATTTCAAGATTATGCCAGGATACTTTACTTTCAATGTTGCTTACATAATTTGTAAGCAGTCTCCAATCTCCATCTCACTGCAACCCTCCTTTTCTTTTATATTTTATTTTTTACCTATTGTTGATGTAATCTGTGGGTATTCTTGAGCTTTTAGATTTTTTTTAAAATTTTTTTTTGTGGGGAGGAGAAATGGAATGATGGTTCCTATTATTATATCCAACAGGAGTATGGCTGTCAATGGACTTTTAGATTTGGATGTTAGAACTTATAATGGGATGGGATATGGATTTAACCCCATCAAATGTTATTCAAATCCAAGTCTGATGAAAAAATTATGTATGTGTATATAAATTTTATGATTTATATATTTTATATTTATATATTAATTTAAAAATAATTATTTTTTTAATTATTTTAAATAATAAAATGATTGTAAATTAAATCCAAATCCCGTTCGAAATTCAATCTGATTACATTGCCCCATATGAAAATTTCATTTTTTTTCAACATCGGTCAATCCGTCATGCGTTACGATTCGGGCCCATATAAATAAAACAAAATTCCAACCCAATCCGATCCAAATTGCATCCCTAAGAATGGGGTTATGGTGATAGCCCATCACAAGTATCCATAACCCCCACCCCAAACCAGCCACATACCTTACCAACTGAGCCATTTACAACCTTCACAGAAGTTAATGTGAAACGGGCTGCCAGCCTGCCATCAAACTCTACAATGTTCTTGTGCTGACCTTGACCCCTTCAATGGATCAATCCCTATTTATGGTACATTAAGGTGAAGTGTATTCCATATATACTGATCTTAAGGCGGTATTTGGTTGTAGTGCACTAGTACGAATGCATGGGAGTATAAATGTAAAAAAAAATGTAAATTCTTGTTTATTTTTGTTTTGGGTTTTCCTTTTTTCTGTTTCATGTCTTAATTTACTTGATTTATACTGCAATAAAAAAATACGCTAAAATTTAAAATAAAAATAGGTTAGGTCAGAATTTACATTCAAATCATTTGCACTGCCATGATTTTGCACCAGTGCAAATTTATTTGCATTGCAACCAAACACAGCCTAATGATCTCCTGCCCTAGAGGTTCTCACCTATCACCATCCAGGTGGATGATAATGTGGTCAATTCAACCCATGGCAAGAGCATGGATTAGTCCTCTCCTCTATCCATATACCAAAAACTTTCCCAGCCGATGTCTGCTGTCAATTTCGACTTTCAGTTTAAGAAATGTCAAAAAAATGTTTTTTTCTTTCCAACGTGACAAGGAGATGCTGATCTAAAGCTTGACAATGAAGACTGGGTGATGGAGCCCATTTCAACTACCACTCGGAACTGCTGTATGTATAAGTTGCCATAGTAGTCATATTCAAAAGAGTAGTAGTCTGGTCCGGTCTCCATATGAAACTGACTTCTGCCCAGAAAATCTAGATGCATGAATTGGATCATAAATTTTTCGATCCACATAAGCATGTTTTCGTTCATTAAGGTCAAGACTGAAGATCTAAAGCCCAGTATCACTAACAAAGAGTTGAGGCCTATCAATGTGGACTAAAAACCCAGGCCCGTTGTTTTTAGAATGGCCATCACAAATGGTTTAATAGAATTCCATATTCTTGAGCAGTGCCATGAAAATATGGCTACCCCATTGTGTCGGCCCATGAAGCAAAATAAGAGCATTTGAATTTATACAGCATTGGACCAAGGCCCATAGGAAGGGCCCATTCATATTCTAACATATGTAAACCCAAGCCCAACCAATTTATCCATTAACAGCTTTCGTAAAATAATATATATATATATATTAACGAGCCGGATTTAATGATTTATCCTTATTTCAATCATGCTCATTCCCCTCTTTATGAAAAAGTTGCCTGATATTCCACGTGGCTACACATCAGGCCATGGATAAATTTAGTTATTATTCCATTGAAATTTCCTGATCAGTATCCTGTACTTTGGCTCGAGTGACAATTTGGTCCCCAAACTTTAAATGCGACAATTCAGTACCCGAACTTTCAAAATGTGACAATCCAATACTTGTCGTTAATCAGCCACTAAGTTACATTTGAAAAGTTAAAAATGCCCTAAGAATGCCATCTAATTCTCTTTATCAACCATCCAAACATTGACAATAAAATTAATAGTCCAAAATTCTAGATTCTTCTAAAAGGTCACTAACTTTTTTGAATAGAAGAGGATAGGATTTCGGACTGTTCAGTTTTTTGTCAATGTTTGGATGGTTGATAAAGAGAATTAGATGGTATTCTTAGGGCATTTTTGACTTTTCAAATGTTACTTAACAGCTGATTAACGGACTGATTAACGACAGGCATTGGATGGTCACATTTTGAAAGTTCGAATAATGGATTGTCACATTTTAAAAGTTTAGATATTGGATTGTTGTCTTTTAAAGTTTGGGGACTAAATTGTCATTTGAGCCAAAATACAGGGTACTGATCGGGATTTTCCCTAATTTTATGAACTGATTTTTCTCACAAAATTTGAAAAAAATGAGTAAAGGAAGATATTTTCAATGCATGGCTGTAGGGCTGTTTATAGGAAGGCCCAACCCAACCCAACCAACCAACCCGGACCGACCCAACCCGAGCCTGCCGGGTTTTCATCAGCACGGGTCGGTTTCGGTTTTCACACAAGAAAACCGAAACCGACCCGAACTAAACCGACTTAGTTCCTAGTTCAAACATGAAGTTCCAAAGCCCATTAGGCTATCTAGTTTTTGAATGGTTGCAAGAAACTTTGGATTAGTGAATAGTGATTAATGAACAACTTTTGTGATTAACTTTTCATTTAAATTTTATAATAGGAGATGACTGAAATGATGTTCAATTTATGACTGTTTTTAAAATTAGCAAGATTTTATCATAGGGATGAACTTAGAACCGAAACTGACCCAACCTGACTCAAACCAACCAGGTCGATTTTGCTTAACACTAGGTCAGTTTCAGTTTCTATGTCAGGTAATCCGACCAGGTCGGGTCGGTTGAAAAAACTACAGTAAACCGACCCAACCCAACCCGTGAACAGCCCTACATGGCTGTAAAATGTAAAAGAATGTGAGAACGGTGTGAATATGATTTTGTGAAGACTGAATCCGAATTCTTCCAAGTCATGAATATCCTCAAAATTGTTTCCAAACATTGAGACAAACGATTCTGGTTGAATGTGTTAAACAGAAAGCCACGAGATTTAGTAGTATTAATTAGGAGGAGGACATGTCTGACAGGACTGATGAGTGTGATGATTCGAACTTAGAAGTATTATGATCATCTTGGGCGTGTTAAGGATTGCCCAGCCCCAAATAAAGCCCTTAGCCAACAAGCATCAAATGCAAGGTTGAAGCTCACTAGTTAATAGTGAATGAGCCTGAGGCCTAAGTATGGCCCACCAGAAAGTACTATAATTCTATAATTATTAGCGTTCCCCTACTAATTAGGTCTTATGCTAACCAATTAATCTGATCCCACCAACTACCCAGAGCCTGCTCATCTGATTGACGTGGGGCCCAGTGCAAGAAAAAGTTGAATCTAGGTCTACTAAGGTTGTATTTAGTTTGAAGGAAAAAATAGAAAAAGGAAAGGAAAGATAAGAAAATCTTTATAAATTTTATATAAATTATGCTATATTTTTCTTTCTTTCTCTACTTTTCCCTTCAAACCAAACATAGCCCAAGGGATTATATAAGGTTGTGTTTGATTTGAAAGAAAAAGTAAGAAATGATAGGAAAATGTTGAGAAATTTTTTAGATTTCCTTAGCTTTTCTTTACTTTCTCTATATTTTCCTTCAAACCAAACATAGCCTAATAAACAGTTGAGGTGGCTGAACTGAATGATTTATTGCTTTATCTTTTGGTAAATAAGCTATTAAGTATCCATTTGAGAGGGTTGAAGAACAGCACCTTCTGATTTTCTAAGGTGGGCTCACACTCAGAGGCTATAAGTCAAGT